TCCTTTCCTATTTGAATACCTGTGATACATTTTCATATCTGTTAGGACCAGCCCTCTTCACTGATCTTTTTCAGGCATTTCATTGCTATTGTTGCTTACTTATTCTTCTTTTTTAAAATTAATTAATTAATTAATTTAGGGACAAGGTCTTGGTGTTGCCTACCCTGGTCTCAAACTCCTGGACCTAAGTGATCCTTCTGCCTCAGCCTCTAGAGTAGCTGGGACTATGGCATGCACCACTGCACCTGGCTATTTTTCTATATATCTTCATAATCTAGTTCTTAAAAATTTTTAAAACTAGCATAATATGAAATTTATATATTAACTTAGAGAAGACAGGTTTATGATGTTGAATTGTCTTATCTGAATATATGGAATATAGGATGTCTACTTTTATGCCTTTTAATCATGTCTTATTTGTTTGCTCATTTTGTACATTTCTTACAAGTTTATGCCTGAATATTTTATTTTTTGGTATTTTAAATGAGACGTTCTTTTCCATCATATCTTCTAACTAGTAACTGTTTATATATATATAATCAATTTCTGTATTTTAATTTAATTTAGTTTTGTTTTATTTTTTGCAGTAGGGTCTCACTCTGTCACCCAGCCTGGAGTTTAGTTGTCAAGTCATGGCTTACTGAAGCCTTGACCTCCTGGGCTCAAGCAGTCCTCCCACCTCAGCCTCCTGAGTAGCTGGGATTATAGGTGCATGGTACCATACTTGGCTAACTATCAAATTTTCATAGAGATAGGATTTGGGTGTATTACCTAGGCTGGCTTGAATTCCTGGGCTCAAGTGATCCTCCTGGCTTAGTCTCCTGAAGTGCAGCAATTACAGATGTTCGCCACCATTCCTATTTTAATTTTATATGCTGTGACTTTACTAAATTCTCTCATTGTATTTTTTTCTCTTCCTTCTGCTGCTCCCCCTCTTACTGATTTTAGTAGTTTTTCAATGGATTATTTGGGGTTTTCTAGATATTTAATCAAATCACTGACAAATAGGGATAGTTCTACCTCTTTCTTTTCAATTCTGATACTTCTAGTTGCTTTTTCTTGTTTAATTGTATTAAATAAGTCTTTCAATTCAATATTAAATAGTAGAGGAGATAAGAAGCATCCTTATCTTGCTTCTGACTTTAGCAGGAATGCCTTTAGTGATTTACCTTGAAGAAATAAGCGGGCATCTGGCCAACATGATGAAACCTTGTCTCTACTAAAAATCCAAAAAAATTAGCTGGGCGTAGTGGCATGCTCCTGTAATCCCAGCTCCTTAGGAGGCTGAGGCAGGAGAATAGCTTGGACCTGGGAGGCAGAGATTGCAATGAGCCGAGATTGCACTATTTCATTCCAACCTGGGCAACAAGAGCAAAACTTAGTTGTTCTTTCTTCAGAAGTCTCATACCTTTCACCTTGGGTCATTTTTCTTCTGCCTTAACCTTTAGAATTTCCTTTAGTGAAGATCTCCTGGTGGCAAACTCAGTTTATGTTTGTCTGAAAATGCCTTAATTTCACCCTCATTCTTAAAATTTTTTGCTGGGCATGCTATTAATTCTAGGATGGTATTCTTTTCTCTCAGCACATCATTATTATTTTTACTATTTTCTGGATTTTGCTGTTATTGAACTGACTGTTGAGAATCTAGCTGTCAGTTCCTTTGAATCTAATTCATGTCTTCTCTCTATTTTTAAGATTGTCTTTGCTCTGATTCATGTGGAGATGGATTTTCTTTTCTTTTTAATTTTGCTTGGAATTCTCTTGATTTCCTGAATCTCTGGTTTGGTATCTTTTGTTAGATCTGGAAAATTCGCAGTCATCATCTCTTCAAATATTGCCTCTACTGCATTTGCCCTCTTTCCTTGTAAAACTCTAAATCAATGTGTGTTGGAATATGTCCCCCATGTCTCTTGAACTTTTTCTCTGCATTGCATCCTGAATAATTTTTCTGGCTTACTGTCCAGTTCACTGATTTGACCTCTGGTTGAATTTTGTCTGCAATTAAACCTTTCTGTTGAGTTTTAAAATTAAATTGCTGAAGTCCTATTTGATTTTTTTTCAAGTCTGAACATTTTTGTAATCTTTCTCTCTTTACTCATATTTTCAATCTCTTATTTCTTTAAATAGGTTAAATATAACTTTTGTAGTCTATTTGATAATTCTAATATATGATATATCTATATAAGAATGTTTATTACAGCATTGTATAATAGCAAAATGCTAGCAACAATATGAATATTGATCAGTAGGAGATTAAATACAATATGGTACATGGAAATAATGAAATTCTATGCAGATAAAGTAGGTGTTTAAGTAGTTAAATAAATATAAATAAATGGTATATTATTGAAAAAAGCAGATTATGGAATATAACATATATTATCTCATTTATATTAAAATGTTTATAGATGCAAAAAGTGGTCTAGAAGAATATTCAGCAAACTGATAGAAATTATTAACTCTGAGAGTTAAGAGTCTTAATTCTCTGTAGTGTTCAAATATTTTACAGCAATAATGTTTTCAAGAAAAAAGGTATTTTCATTTTATAAAAATACCCTAATACATTGTGACTATTTTTCTATATTATATGCATATTTCTACAGCATAATTTAACATTGCTATAAAGTATTTTGTTATATGGCTTACACCATAATTTATGCATTTTCCTATTGTGGGCATTGAGCTTATTGCTAGCTTTTGCTTTTATAAATATTGCTGGGGTAAACATCCAGAGCACATTGTTTAAATTTGTATAAGTAGGCTCTTTTGAGGTGTTCAACACTGTTGACTTCTTTCTTCTGTTTTGGTTTTCCTCGTGGCCTCTCATACTTCAGAGGCTATTTTGGTTTTCTTTGCAGGCTCCTCTTTCTTCCTTAGCATTTTATTTTTTTCAGAGGTTTGAAAATCTATTATTGTTTTGAGTACAGGCTTTTGATTTCATCTGATTAGTTTTCTTTTTTGAGGGAGCAATTTCCTGTTTATTTAAATTGACAAAAATTGTATCTATTTGTTGTGTACAACATGATATTTTGAAGTATGTATACAATGTGGAGTGGCCAAATTACTTCTTAAAATAACAGCTTTATTGAGATACAATTCTTGTAATATGTATAATTCAGTAATAGTTTGTAGTATATTCCAAAGTTGTGCAGTGATAATCACTATTGAATTCCAAAACATTCTTATTATTCCCAAAAACAAAATCCATACTGATTAGCAGTCCTTGAAATTTTCCCTTTCTTCTCAGGCCCTGGAAACACTAATACACTTTCTGCTCTATGGATTTGCCTCTTCTGGACATCTCATGTAAATGCAATGATACAATATGTGGCCTTTTGTGCTTATGTCACTTAGCTTAGTGTTGTCAAAGGTCATCCACTTTGTTACCTGCATCAGAACACCATTCCTATTTTTTTTCCAATAGGTTTTTGGGGAACAGGTGATATTTGGTTACAAGAGTAAGTTCTTTAGTGATAATTTCTTAGATTTTGGTGCACCCGTCACCCAAGCAGTGTACACTGTACCCCGTGTGCAGTCTTTTATCCCTTCTCACCTCCCACTCCTTCCCCCTGAGTTCCCAAAGTCTGTTGTATCATTCTTGTACCTTTGCATCCTCGTTTAGCTCCCACCTATCAGTGAGAACATACAATGTTTGGTTTTCTATTCCTGAGTTACTTCACTTAGAATAATGGTCTCCAAATGCCATTATTTCATTCTTTTTTATGGCTGAGTGGTATTCCATTTTGTACATATACCACATTTTCTTTATTCACTCATTGATTGATGGGCATTTGGGCTGGTTCTGTATTTTTGCAATTGTGAATTGTGCTGCTATAAACATGTGTGTGCAATTATCTTTTTCATATAATGACTTCTTTTTCTCTGGCTAGATACCCGTGAATGGGATTGCTGGATCAAATGGTAGATTTAGTTGTTTAAGGAATTGCCACACTGTTTTCCATAGCTGCCTAGCATTTTATGTAACTGGGTTACTGTCTAGTTCTCTGGCTACCTCACAAGTTTGCCTTTAGGATACAATTTACTTTCTTGGCTTTAATTAAATGCAGATAACTGTCAAATCTCTAAATCTTCCGTCTTAAACTCTAGATCTATATATTCAGCTACTTGCTGGATATTTTCACTTGAATATCTCAGTGGTACCTCAGACTCACACAGCCTAATCTGAACTCCTCTCTCTCTCCCCAAACCTGTTTATCCGCTTTCATTCATTATCTCTATGAATGGCATTGTCATCTCTATAGTGGTCTAACCTGCAAACCAAGTGTCATTCAAGGTGTACTTTTCTCTAACCATCCCGTGCCCATCCAGTCAATCACTAGGAGTTGCCTCTTAAATATCTCTTAAATCTTCCTTCTCTTTATTCCAGCAACCACTGTTTTGTTCACGCTCCTGTTCTCTTCCTCTCTTTCCCTTTCTTCCTCTTCTCTAAAGCTATTCTCCTGTTGCTAGAGTGATAGTTTTGAAATGCAAATCAAATCAGTCAGTTCATTAGAGCCTCATTGCCTTCAGGATGAGAGCCAATCATCTCCCTGGCTTGACAGTTTAGCCCTTCCTGTATGATTGCACTCTTGTTCATTTGCCTCCCAGTTTTTGTCCTATTGAACTATGCTTGCTCTCAGAACCAATCATGTACTTAGAACATCCTCTGCCCAGGGCTCCTTCTTTTCCTTCCCCATCCTTCAAGAAAAAACTCAAACATTATCTCCTTCAGGAAACCTTTCTGACCAACTCCCTCTTTTACCCAGTCCACTACCTGGTCTAAATTAGGTGCTCTTACTATGTGACTATATGCATTCATTGTATTTTCTTGTCCATGAAATTATACTTGCAATTTCTTAAGGACAGGGACTATTCTTATCAACCTTTGTATCCTTGTCACTAGCACAGTACCCAGTTGCAGGATTAGCGCTCATTAAATATTTTTGAACAAATAATTACCAATATTTATATACACCTTATAATATTGTTTTATCTCACAGGAGGTTATAAAAGAATTCATTGAGCCTGAAATGGACGAGTGTTTTAAAGAAGATGAAGAAGAAAGTAAGGAGGATAGGAAACTTCAGGAGGAAAATAAAGAGAGAGCAGAAGTAAGATTTTTGGTATTTGTTCTTCCTCCTGCATACATATATAAGTGTACACACACACACACACACACACACACACACACACATGTTTTAGAGACAGGCTCTCACTCTGTCAGACAGGTTGGAGTGCTGTGGTGTGATCATAGCTCACTGTAACCTCGAACTGTGGGGCTCAAATGATCCTCCCGCTTCAGCCTCTTGAGTAGCTGGGACTACAGGCATGCACCACCGTGCCTAGCTAATAAAAAAATTTTTTTTATAGAGATGGAGTCTTCATATGTTGCCCGGGCTGGTCTTGAACTCCTGGTCTCAAGCAATCCTCTCACCTCGGCCTCCTAAAGTGCTGTGATTACAAACACGAGCCATGATGCCTGGACCCTTTATATATACAAAGTGGGGGGAAAATTACACACACACACACACACACACACACACACACACACACACACACACACAGTATAGAGACACACACAGTAGAGAATAGAAGTAGGTGGTCTGGAGTGAACTCTTCAATTTCCTTGTGTTCCTCCTATAGATTTAGCCAAACCTGCAGAAATATTTATCTTTGTCACTTTATTTTCAGAGGAAGGGATGTTCATTTTCCCTTCTAAATCCAGCCATTTACGATTAGCCTCATTTATACCTATATTCCTATTAACCACACAATCTACTTCTCACCCTGGTGCTATGTTTTTAGCCCTTCATTCCCACATTTTTCAAATAATACTTTAAAACTCCATGTTTCCACTTCAGCTCCCATTCTCAGCCCTCCTCCTAGGCCTATCGCCGGACCTCTCCTCCCTTTACCCTGTCTCCACCACTGCAGAGGCATTTGTAGTAATAAAAACCCTTCCTGGAACGTTTGTAATAATAATAACAATAATACAATGTTTACCAAAAATTGGATAGGCACGTATTATCTCTTATCTATGCAACATAGCTTCAAGGTATATATTATTGCCCTCATTTTACAGATAAGAAAATTGAACCTCAGAGAGGTTGACTGACTTACCCAAAATCATATAGCTGTAAGTGGAAGAACCAATATTCAAATCCAGTTAAGTCCAGCATAAGAGCCCTTGCTAATCTTACATTGACTACTACTGTCTTTGGCTTCTAGAACTCATGATTGCCTAACACTCTCTACAATGTCTCAGTTTGATGTAATTCTTCTCTATATATAGTTTAAATGTTGGCATGACTCCAGGCTCTGAACTAGGCCTTCTACTCACTGCACAGACAGGACAACAGAACAAAAATATTATATAACACCCAAGCCTATTTTGATCAACATTTTCTGTTTTATTTCTGGTAAAGTTCTTAGTATATAGAAGTCACAGAATAAATGGAAATTGTTAAAGGTGTCTTAACCAGAGCGACTCCAATCTTGAATAAAGTCTAGATAAAGCAAAACCTGCTGGATTACTTTCCCAGGAAATTAGGCATTCTTAATCACAAGATGTTTATGACTGAGGAAATGAATTAATGGAACAAGGCATTCTCAGTTTAAAAATGGGCTTTGCTTTAAAGATAATGGTACTGTTACAGGAAAGGGGTCATGATCCAGACCCCAGGAGAGGGTTCGTGGATCTTGCACAAGAAAGAAGTCAGGGCAAGTTTGCAGTGCAAAGTGAAAGCTAATTTATTAAGAAAGTAAAGGATCCAGCACTCCAGTTCAGATACTGCACTTCTCCAGCGGTTTTTACTGCCCACAGACCAGCGGATTCCCTGGGCAGAAAAGCGCCACGAGTTTCCAGCATGGCTGTTTCAGCCAGTGCAGTGGGTTTCCACACAAAAACTCACACAAAGCTGGGCAGCCATTTCAACTGGCGCCTGGAATGCCTGGGAGACAGAGCCACCCATTCATCTGAAAAAGGGGTCTGGAAGCAGGGAGCCAGGTGATCTGGCTCGGCGGGTCCCACCCCACAGAGACCAGCAGTCTGAAACACTCTGGCTTGAGAGCTTCGCAGCAAGTGCAGCAGTTTGAGCTTGACCCTGGACAGTCAAGCTCTGTGGAAGGAAGGACATCCGCCATTACCAAGGCAGTCCACCACTACCGAGGCAGTCCTCCATTACCAAGGTAGTCTGCCATTACCGAGGAAGCCCGCCATTACCGAGGAAGTCCACCATTACTAAGGCAGTCCACCATTACTGAGGGAGACCGCCATTACCGAGGCACTTCTAACCATACCTCTGTAAACAAAACCACAAGGAAGTTTACATAGCAGCTGGGCAGAGCCTGTGGCAGCTCAGCAACACCTCTGCTGGCAGAGTGTGACTAGACTCCCTCCTTGCTGGGCAGGGCATCTCTGAAAAAAGGCAGCAACATGTCAGAGACTTATAAATAAAGCCCCACTTTCCCGGGACAGAGCACCTGGGAAAAGAGGCAGTTATGAGTTCCACTGCAGCAGGTCTGAATGGAACAACAGAGCTCCCAGCACAGCACTTGAGCTCTGATAAGGGACAGACTGTCTCCCCAAGCAGCTCTCTGACCCCCATATATCCAAAGAGGCACCTCATAAAGGAGAACTCTGGCTGACATCTGGCAGCTACCCTTCTGGGATGAAGATAACAGAAAAGAAACTGGCAGCAACCCTTACTGTTCTGCAGCCCCTGTGGGTGATTCCTAGGCAAGCAAGGTCTGGAGTGGACCTCCAGCAGTTCTGCAGCAGAGGGGCCTATTAGGAGGAAAACTAAAAAACAGAGAGAAATAGCTTCAACATCAACAAAAAGGATGTCTACTCGGAGACCCCAACCAAAAGTCACCAACTTCAAAGATCAAAGGTAGATAAATCCACAAAGATGGGAAGAAACTAGTGCAAAAAGGAGGGAAACACCCAAAACCAGAACACCTCTCCTCCTCCAAGGGATCACAATTCATCACCGGCAAGGCAACAAACAAAGCTGGTCAGAGAATGAGTCTGATGAATTGACAGAAGCAGGCTTCAGAAGGTGGGTAATAACAAACTTCTCTGAGCTAAAAGAACATGTTCTAACCCAATGCAAAGAAGCTAAGAACCTTGAAAAAAGGTTAGACAAAATGCTGACTAGAATAAGCAGCTTGGAGAAGAACATAAACAACTTGATGGAGCTGAAAAGCATAGCATGAGAACTTCGCAAAGCATACACAAGTTTTAATAGCCAAACCGACCAAGCAGAAGAAAGGATATCAGAGATTGAAGATCATCTCAATGAAATAGAAGGCAAGATTAGAGAAAAAAGAGTGAAAAGAAATGAACAAAGCCTCCAAGAAATATGGGATTATGTGAAAAGACCTAATCTATGTTTGATAGGTGTACCTGAATGTGACAGGGAGAATGAATCCAAGCTGGAAAACACTCTCTGGGATACTATCAAGGAGAACTTCCCCAACCTAGCAAGGCAGACAAGCATTCAAGTCTAGGAAATACAGAGAACACCACAAAGATACTCCTCAAGAAGAGCAACCCCAAGGCACATAATTGTCAGATTCACCATGGTTGAAATGAAGGAAAAAATGCTAAGGGCAGCCAGAGAGAAAGGTCGGGTTACCCACAAAGGCAAGCCCATCAGAATCACAATGGATCTCTCGGCAGAAATCCTACAAGCTAGAAGAGAGTGGGGGCCAATATTCAACATCCTTAAAGAAAAGAACTTTCAACCTAAAATTTCATACCCAGCCAAACTAAGCTTCATAAGCAAAGAAGAAATAAAATCCTTTACGGACAAGCAATTGCTGAAAGATTTCATCACCACCAGGCCTACCTTATAAGAGCTCCTGAAAGAAGCACTAAACTTGGAAAGAAACAATCAGTACTATCCACTCCAAAAATGTACCAAATGGAAAAGACCATCAACACAATTAAGAAACTGTGTGAACTAACAGGCAAAACACCCAGGTAGCATCAAAATGGCAGGATCAGATTCACATATAACAATATTAACCTTAAATGTAAATGGGCTAAATGCCCCAATCAAAAGACACAGACTGGCAAATTGGATTAAAAGTCAAGACCCATTGGTGTGCTGTATTCAGGAGACCCATCTCACATGCAAAGACATACATAGACTCAAAATAAAGGGATGGAGGAAGATTTACCAAGCAGATAGAGAGCAAAAAAGCAGGAGTTACAATCCTAGTCCCTGATAGCATGGACTTTCAGCCAACGAAGGTCAAAAGAGAGAAAGAAGGGCATTACATAATGGTAAAAGGATCAATGCAACAAGAAGAGCTAATGTTCCTAAATGTATATGCACCCGATACAGGAACACCAGATACATAAAGCAAGTACTTAATGACCTACAAAGAGACTTAGACTTCCACACAATGACAGAGACTTTAACACTCCACTGTCAATATTAGATCAATGGGACAGAAAAATAATAAGGATATCCAGGACTTGACCTTAGATCTGGACCAAGCAGACCTAATAGACATCTACAGGACTCTCCACCCCAAATCCACAGAATATACATTCTTCTCAGCACCACATTGCACCTACTCTAAAATTGACCACATAATTGGAAGTAAATCACTCTTCAGCAAATGCAAAAGAATGAAAATCATAACTAACAGTGTCTCAGATCACAGTGCAATCAAATTAGAACTCAGGATTAAGAAACTAACTCAAAACTGCACAACTTCATGGAAACTGAACAACTGGCTCCTGAATGTCGACTGGATAAACAATGAAATGAAGACAGAAATAAAGATTTTATTCAAAACCAATGAGAACAAAGACATAACATTCCAGAATCTCTGGGACACATTTAAAGCAGTGTCTAGAGAGAAATTTATAGCAATAAATGCCCACATGAGAAGAAAGGAAAGATCTAAAATCGAAAACCCTATCATCAAAATTGAAAGAACTAGAAGAGCAAGATCAAAAAAACTCAAAAGCTAGCAGAAGACAAGAAACAACAAAGATCAGAACAGAAGGAGACAGAGACACAGAAAACCCTTCAAAAATCAATAAATCCAGGAACTGTTTTTTTTGGAAAAGATCAACAAAATAGACAGACTGCTAGCCAGGTTAATAGAAAAGAGAGAAGAATCAAATAGATGTAATAAATGATAAAGGGGATTCACCACCGATTCAACAGAAATACAAACTACCATCAGAGATTATTACAAACAACTCTATGCACATAAACAAGTAAACCTGGAAGAAATGGATAAATTCCTGGACACTTGCACCCTCCCAAGACTAAACCAGGAAGAAGCCGAAACCCTGAATAGACCAATAACAGGGCTGAAGTTGGAGCAGCAATTAATAGCCTACCAATCTAAAAAAGTCCAGGTCCAGATGGGTTCACAGCTGAATTCTACCAGACATGCAAAGAGGAGCTGGTACCACTCCTTCTGAAACTATTCAAAACAATCCAAAAAGAAGGAGTCCTTGCCAAATCATTTTATGAGACCAAAATCATCCTGATACCAAAACCCAGCAGAGACTCAACAAAAAAAGAAAGCTTCAGGCCAGTATCCATGATGAACATAGATGCAAAAATCTTCAATAAAATACTGGCAAACCGATTGCAACAGCACATCAAAAAGCTGATCCAGGCTGGGCGTGGTGGCTCACACCTGTAATCCCAGCACTTTGGGAGGCTGAGGCAGGTGGATCATGAGGTCAAGAGATCGAGACCATCCTGGCCAACATGGTGAAACCTTGACTTTACTAAAAAATACAAAAATTAGCTGGGTGTGGTGACGCATGCCTGTATTCCCAGCTACACAGGAGGCTGAGGCAAAAAATAAAAGGAGAAAAAGAAAAAAAAAAGCCGATCCATTATGATCAAGTAGGCTTCATCCCGGGGATGTAAGGCTGGTTCAACATACACAAATCTATAAACATAATCCATCACATAAACAGAACCAAAGACAAAAGCCACATGATTATCTCAATAGATGTAGAGAAGGCCTTTGACAAAATTCAACAGCACTTTATGTTAAAAACTCTGAATAAATTGTTTACAATAGCAAAGACCTGGAACCAACCCAAATGCCCATCAATGATAGACTGGACAAGGAAAATGTGGAACGTATACACCATGGAATACTATGCAGCCATAAAAAATGATGAGTTCATGTCCTTTGTAGGGACATGGATGAATTTGGAAACCATCATTGTCAGCAAACTGACACAGGAACAAAAAAAGCAAACACTGCATGTACTGACTCATAGGTGGGTGTCGAACAATGAGAACACATGGACACAGGGAGGGGAGAATCACACACTGGGGTCTGTTGGTGGGGGGTTAGGGGAGGGACAGTAGTGGGTAGGGAGGTTGGGGAGGGATACCATGGGGAGAAATGCCAGATATAGGTGAGAGGGGATGGAGCAGCAAACCACCTTGCCATGTATGTAGCTACGCAACAATCCTGCATGATCTGCACATGGACCCCAGAACATAAAATAAGCAAGCAAACAAGCAAGCAAGCAAGCAAGAAGGAAAGAAAGAAAGAAAGAAGGAAAGAAAGAAGAGAGAGAGAGAGAGAAAAAGAAAGAGAAAGAAAGAAAGAAAGAAAGAAAGAAAAAGGAAGGAAGGAAGGGAGAGAGAGAGAGAAAGAAAGAGAAAGAAAAGGAAAGGAAGGAAAGAAAGGAAAGAAAGGAAGGAAAGGAAGGAAAGAAAGAGAGAAAAGGAAGGAAGGAAGGAAGGAAGGAAGGAATAAGGCCGGGTGTGGTGGCTCTTGCCTGTAGTCCCAGCACTTTGGGAGGCCAAGGTGGGCAGATCACCAGGGTAGGAGTTCGAGACCAGCCTGGCCAACATGGTGAAACCCCGTTCAGCCTTTAAATGACATTTTCTCTGTGACTAATTCCCAAAGTACCTAGGAAGATTGCATGGCCCTTTACTGAGTGCAAACAGCCCTTGAAACACTTTTTGGCTAATAGTAATCATGTTATACCATAATTACTCATTTTATTATCTGTCTGTCCTGCAATATTGACAGTTCCTGGAACCTGGAAGAAATCCTCTATGTTTTTCCCATAGTTATATCCCTTGTCCTCACTCCCCATTCACAGTGTTTGTTATGTGAAAGTCTTCAGAAGTGCTTGTTGTATGATTAGAGCAAATGGAAAATTTAAGCTTCCAATATGGTGCCAGGAAACTCGCTGATGTGCCACTGTGTTACACACCAGCTTGCTAACAGGTCCGCATGTTTCTGTGTTCTAGCAACCTTCAACATCTACAGAGAAGGAAACACTCATTCGATTCATTGGAGAAGATGAAAATATTCATTCCAAACCTCTATTTGAAACAGATGTGTTGTCTTCTTGGGTATGTATCTGAAACCCAACTAGGGAATTCAATACTATTTAACATTGTATAAAAATGATATGGTGCTGGCCGGGTGTGGTGGCTCACGCCTGTAATCCCAGCACTTTGGAAGCCGAGGTGGGCGGATCACAAGGTCAAGAGATTGAGACCATCCTGGCCAACATGGTGAAACCCCGTCTCTACTAAAAATACAAAAATTAACTGGGCATGGTGGCGTGAGCCTGTAGTCCCAGCTACTCGGGAGGCTGAGGCAGGAGAATCACTTGAACCCAGGAGGTGGAGGTTGCAGTGAGCCGAGATTGCGCCACTGCACTCCAGCCTGACGCCTGGCAACAGAGTGAGACTCTGTTTCAAAAAAAAAAAAAAAAAAAAGATACGGTGCTAACATAACTTTTAGCTACTCTAAGGGGACCAGGGGTTCCTAAGTTATGTATTTTATAGATATTTTTCTTTCTTTTTCTGAGATGGAGTCTTGCTCTGATGTCCAGGCTGGAAGGCAGTAGCACAATTTCGGCTCACTGCAACCTATGCCTCCCGGGTTCAAGCAATTCTCTGCCTCAGCCTCCCAAGTAGCTGGGATTACAGGAGCCCACCACCACGCCTGACTAATTTTTGTATTTTTAGTAGAGACAAGGTTTCGCCATCTTGTCCAGGCTGGTCTTGAACTGCTGACCTTGTGATCCACCCGTCTTGGCCTCCCAAAGTGCTGGGATTACAGGCATGAGCCACCGTGCCTGATCTATTTTACAGATATTTTTCTTCCAACATAATTCCTGGAAAACTCGTTATTCCATCTTAACTTTACAAAAGCTTTTCATTCTCATCTTTTTTTTTCCCCATTTATTTATTTTATTGCATTTTAGGTTTTGGGGTACATGTGAAGAACATGCAAGATTGTTGCATAGGTACACACGTGGCAGTGTGATTTGCTGCCTTCCTCCCCATCACCTACATCTGGCATCTCTCTCCATGCTATCTCTCCCCAACTCCCCACCCCCTGCTGTCCCTTCCCTATTTCCCCCCAACAGACCCCAGTGTGTAGTGCTCCCCTCCCTGTGTCCATGTGTTCTCATTGTTCAACACCCGCCTGTGAGTGAGAACATGCAGTGTTTGATCTTCTGCTCTTCTGTCAGTTTGCTGAGAATGATGGTTTCCAGGTTCATCCATGTCCCTACAAAGGACACAAACTCACCGTTTTTGATGGCTGCATAATATTCCATGGTGTATATGTGCCACATTTTCCCTGTCCAGTCTATCGTCGATGGGCATTTGGGTTGGTTCCAGGTCTTCGCTATTGTAAACAGTGCTGCAATGAACATTCGTGTGCACATGTCCTTATACTAGAATGATTTATAATCCTTTGGATATATACCCAGTAATGAGCTTGCTGGGTCAAATGGAATTTCTATTTCTAGGTCCTTGAGGAATCGCCACACTGTCTTCCACAATGGTTGAACTAATTTACACTCCCACCAACAGTGTAAAAGTGTTCCTATTTCTCCACATCCTCTCCGGCATCTGTTGTCTCAAGATTTTTTAATGATCGCCATTCTAACTGGCACGAGATGGTATCTCAATGTTGTTTTTGATTTGCATTTCCCTGATGACTAGTGATGATGAGCATTTTTTCATATGTTTGTTGGCCTCATGTATGTCTTCTTTTGTAAAGTATCTGTTCATATCCTTTGCCCACTTTTGAATGTGCTTGTTTGTTTTTTTCTTGTAAATCTGTTTTAGTTCTTTGTAAATTCTGGATATCAGCCCTTTGTCAGATGGGTAGACTGCAAAAAATTTTCCTATTCTGTTGGTTACCGATTCACTCTAATGATTGTTTCTTTTGCTGTGCAGAAGCTGTGGAGTTTGATTAGGTCCCATTTGTCTATTTTGGCTTTTGTTGTCAATGCTTGTGGTGTTTTGGTCATGAAGTCCTTGCCTACACCTATGTCCTGAATGGTTTTGCCTAGATTTTCTTCTAGGGTTTTTATGGTGTTAGGTCTTATGTTTAAGTCTTTAATCCATCTGGAGTTAATTTTAGTATAAGGTATCAGAAAGGGGTCCAGTTTCTGCATTCCACACATGGCTAGCCAGTTTTCCAACACCATTTATTAAACAGGGAATCCTTTCCCCATTGCTTGTTTTTGTCTGGTTTGTCAAAGATCAGATGGTTGTAGATATGTTGTGTTGCCTCCGAGACCTCTGTTCTGTTCCATTGGTCTATATCTCTGTTTTGGTACCAGTACCATGCTGTTTTGATTACTGTATCCTTGTAGTATAGTTTGAAGTCTGGTAGTGTGATGCCTCCCGTGTTGTTCTTTTTGCTTAGAATTGACTTGGCTATGCGGGCTCTCTTTTGGTTCCATATGAAGTTTGAGGTGGTTTTTTCCAGTTCTGTGAAGAAGGTCATTGGTAGCGTGATGAGGATAGCATTGAATCTGTAAATTACTTTGGGCAGTATGGCCATTTTCACGATATTGATTCTTCCTAACCATGAACATGGAATGTTTCTCCATCTGTTTGTGTCCTCTCTTATTTTGTTGAGCAGTGGCTTGTAGTTCTCCTTGAAGAGGTCCTTTACATTCCTTCTTAGTTGTATTCCTAGGTATTTTATTCTCTTTGTGGCAATTGTGAATGGAAGTTCGTTCTTGATTTGGCTCTCTTTAAGTCGGTTATTGGTGTATAGGAATGTATGTGATTTTTGCACATTGATTTTGTATCCTGAGACTTTGTTGAAGTTGCTTATCAGTTTCAGGAGCTTTTGGGCTGAGATGATGGGGTCTTCTAGATATACAATCATGTCGTCTGCAAATAGAGACAATTTGACTCCTCCTTTCCTATTTGAATACACTTTATTTCTTTTTCTTGCCTGATTGCTCTGGCTAGAACTTCTAGTACTATATTGAATGGGAGTGGTGAGAGAGGGCATCCTTGTCTAGTGCCAGGTTTCAAGGGGAATGCTTCCAGTTTTTGCCCATTCAGTATGATGTTGGCTGTTGGTTTGTCATAAATAGCTTTTATTATTTTGAGATACGTTCCATCGATACCTAGCTTATTGAGGGTTTTTAGCATAAAGGGCTGTTGAATTTTGTCAAAGGCCTTCTCTGCATCAATTGAGATAATCATGTGGTTTTTGTCTTTGGTTCTGTTTATGTGGTGAATTACGCTTATAGACTTGCGTATGTTGAACCAGCCTTGCATCCCCGGGATGAAGCCTACTTGATCATGGTGGATGAGCTTTTTGATGTGCTGTTGCAATCAGCTTGTCAGTATTTTATTGAAGATTTTTGCACCTATATTCATCATGGATATTGACCTGAAGTTTTCTTTTCTTGTTGAGTCTCTGCCAGGTTTTGGAATTAGGATGATGTTGGTCTCATAAAATGATTTGGGAAGAATTCCCTCTTTTTGTATTGTTTGGAATAGTTTCAGAAGGAATGGTACCAGCTCCTCTTTGTATGTCTGGTAGAATTCGGCTATGAACCAGTCTGGCCCTGGGCTTTTTTTGGGTGGTAAGCTCTTAATTGCTGCCTCAACTTCAGACCTTGTTATGGGTCTGTTCAGGGTTTCGGCTTCTTCCTGGTTTAGTCTTGGGAGGGTGCAAGTGTCCAGGAATTTATCCATTTCTTCCAGGTTTACTAGTTTATGTGCATAGAGTTGTTTGTAATAATCTCAGATGATGGTTTGAATTTCTGTGGAATCTGTGGTGATATCCCATTTATCATTTTTTATTGCATCAATTTGGTTATTCTCTCTTTTTTATTAATCTGGCTAGTGGTCTGTCCATTTTTCTTGATCTTTGCGAAAAACCAGCTCCTGGATTGATTGATTTTTTGAAGGGTTTTTTGTGTCTCTATCTCCTTCAGTTCTGCTCTGATCTTAGCTATTTCTTGTCTTCTGCTAGACTTTGAGTTTTTTTGATCTTGCTCCTCTAGCTCTTTCAATTTTGACGATAGGGTGTCAATTTTTGATCTCTCCTTGCTTCTCATGTGGGCACTTATTGCTATATATTTTCCTCTAGAGACTGCTTTAAATGCGTCCCAGAGATTCTGGTATGTTGTGTCTTCATTCTCGTTGGTTTCGAAGAACATCTTTATTTCTGTCTTCATTTCATTGTTTATCCAGTCAACATTCAAGAGCAAGTTGTTTAGCTTCCATGAAGCTGTGCGGTTCTGGGTTAGTTTCTGAATTCTGAGTTCTAACTTGATTGCACTGTGGTCTGAGAGACTGTTTATTATGATTTCTGTTCTTTTGCATTTGCTGAGGATTGATTTACTCCCAATTATGTGGTCAATTTTTGAGTAGGTGTGATGTGGTGCTGAGAAGAATTTGTATTCTGTGGATTTGGGGTGGAGAGTTCTGTAAATGTCTATTAGGATTGCTTGGTCCAGGTCTGAGTTCAAGTCCTGGATATCCTTGTTAATTTTCTGTCTGGTTGATCTGTCTAATATTGACAATGGGGTGTTAAAGTCTCCCACTATTATTGTGTGGGAGTCTAAGTCTCTTTGTAAGTCATTAAGAACTTGCCTTATGTATCTGGGTGCTCCTGTATTGGGTGCGTATATATTTAGGATCGTTAGCTCTTCTTGTTGCATTGATCCTTTTACCATTATGTAATGTCCCTCTTTGTCTCTTTTGATCTTTGTTGCTTTAAAGTCTAATTTATCAGAGATGAGAATTGCAACTCCTGCTTTTTTTTGCTCTCTATTTGCTTGGTAAATCTTCCTCCATCCCTTTATTTTGAGCCTTTGTGTATCCTTGCATGTGAGATGGGTTTCCTGGATACAGCACACCGATGGGTTTTGGCTTTTTATCCAATTTGCCAGTCTGTGTCTTTTGAGTGGGGCATTTATTCCATTTATATTTAGGGTTAATATTGTTATGTGTGAATTTGATACTGCCATTTTGGTGCTAGCTATCTGTTTTGCCCATTAGTTGATGCAGATTCTTCATCGTGTTGATTCTCTTTACCATTTGGCATGTTTTTGGAGTGGCTGGTATTGGTTGTTACTTTATATGTGTAGAGCCTCTTTCAGGAGCTCTTGTAGAGCTGGCCTGGTGGTGACAAAATCTCTGAGTACTTGCATGTTCACAAAGGATTTTATTTTTCCTTCACTTATGAAGCTTAGTTTGGCTGGATATGAGATTCTGGGTTGAAAGTTCTTTTCTTTAAGGATGTTGAATATTGGCCCCCACTCTCTTCTGGCTTGTAGGGTTTCTGCTGAGAGATCTGCTGTGAGTCTGATGGGTTTCCCTTTGTGGGTAACCTGACCTTTCTCTCTGGCTGCCCTTAGTATTTTCTCCTTCATTTCAACCCTGGTGAATCTGACGATTATGTGCCTTGGGGTTGCTCTTCTTGAGGAGTATCTTTGTGGTGTTCTCTGTATTTCCTGGACTTGAAGATTGGCCTGCCTTGCTAGGTTGGGGAAGTTTTCCTGGATAATATCCTGAAGAGTATTTTCCAGCTTGGATTCATTCTCTTCATCGCATTCAGGTACACCTATCAAATGTAGAATTAGGTCTTTTCACATAGTCCCACATTTCTTGTAGACTTTGTTCATTCCTTTTTACCCTTTTTTCTCCATTCTTGCCTTCCCGTTTTATTTCATTGAGTTGATCTTCGACCTCTGATATCCTTTCTTCTGCTTGGTCAATTTGGCTGTTGATACTTGTGCATGCTTCGTGGAGTTCTCGCATTGTGTTTTTCAGCTCCATCAATTCACTTATATTTCTTTCTATTTTGTCCATTCTCGTTAGCATTTTGTCAAATCTTTTTTCAAGGTTCTTAGTTTCTTTGCATTGGATTAGAACGTGTTCTTTTAGTTCACAGAAGTTTCTTACTACCCACCTTCTGAAGTCTGATTCTGTCATTTCATCACACTCGTTCTCCATACAACCTTGTTCCCTTGCTGGTGAGGAGTTGTGATCCCTTGTAGGAGGAGAGGTGTTCTGGTTTCGGGTGTTTTCATCCTTTTTGCGCTGGTTTCTTCCCATCTTTATGGATTTATCCACTTGTCATCTTTGTAGTTGCTCGCTTTCAGATTGGGTCTCTGAGTGGATGTTCTGTTTGTTGATGATGAGGTTATTTCTGTTTCTTGGTTTTCCTTCTGACAGTCTGGCCCCTCTGCTGTAGGTCTGCTGAGATCCACTCCAGGCCCTGCTTGCCTGGGGATTACCTGCAGCAGCTGCAGAACAGTAAGGGTTGTTACCAGTTTTCTTCTTCTGCTATCTTTGTCCCAGAAGGATACCCGCCAAGTGTCAGTCTGATCTCTCCTTTATGAGGTGGCTCTTTGGATATACAGGGGTCAGGGAGCTGCTTGAGGAGACAGTCTGTTCTGTATAGGAGCTCAAATGCTGAGCTGTGAGCTCCATTGTTCATTCAGAGCTGCTGGGCAGGTACATTTAGGTCTGCTGCAGCAGAACACATAAACCGCTTTTTGTTCCCAGGTGCTCTGTCCCAGGGATTTAGGGCTTTATTTAGGAGTTTCTATTATGCTGCTGCTGCCGTTTTTTTTTCTTCAGAGCTGCCCTGCCCAGCAAGGAGGCAGCCTAGTCACTGTCTGCCTGTAGAGGCTTTGCTGAGCTGCTGTGGACTCCGCCCAGCTGCCGAGTAAACTTCCCTGCAGCCCTGTTTATATGGGTGTAGTTAGAACTGCCTCGGCAGTGGTGGCCCGCCTCTGTTAAAGCTGAGTCTCTCTGTAGTGGCAGGTTGCCTTGGCAACTGCGGGCTGCCTTGGCAACGGTGGGCTGCCTCAGCAATGGTGGGTTGCCTTGGCAACGGCGGGCTGCCTCAGCATTGGCTGACTACCTCCGTAGTGGTGGGCTGCCTCGGTAATGGCGGACGCCCCTCCCCCACAGAGCTGGACCATCCCGGGTTCAGCTGCACTTGCTGTGAAACTCTCAATCCAGAGAGTTTCTGATTGCTGTTCTTTTGTGGGGGTGGGACCAGCCAAGTGCCTGGCTCCCTGCCTCAGAGCCTTTTTTTTTTTTTAAGTTGGTGCTCCAGTCACCTGTTGAAGAGGCGCCGGGATCTGTGTGTTTTCCCATATGGCAACTCACTGCGCTGGCTTAAACAGCGGCACTGAGATTCGTGGCACTTTTTTTGCCCTGGAATCTACTGTCCTGGTTCCCTGCTCAGTCCCCTTTTTAAACGGATGAATGGGCGACTTCCAGTGGCTCCAATCACCAGCCAAAAGGGCACCCGGACCAGTGTATTTTGTACGGAGAACCGCTGCACCGGGGCGCTGACAAAGCAGCCGCGCGGGGCAAAGCAGCGGCGCCGGCCGACACAGCCGCGCTGGTGACCCATGGAGCTCCTCCACCTGGGAATTTCCTAGTCTGTGGGCAATAAAAATGCAGCGTCCACTCACCCTCTGCACTTTCACTGGGAGCTGCAATCCTGAGCTGTTCCTAAACAGCCATCTTGGATCCCAGATCTCATTCTCATCTTTAAACCTCTCTCTCTCTCTCTTTTTTGGTGGGGATAGAGTTTTGCTCCACCTCCTGGGTTCAAGTGATTCTCCTGTGTAAGCCTCCTGAGTAGCTGGTATTACAAGTGCCTGCCACCATGCCTAGCTAATTTTTGTATTTTTAGTAGGGATGGGGTTTCACCATGTTGGCCAAGCTGGTTTCAAACTTCTGACCTCAGGAGATCCACCAACCTTGGCCTCCCAAAGTGCTGTGATTATAGGCATGAGCCTCTGTGGCCAGCCTAAACCTCATTCTAACATCAGCATTTCATCTCTTTCCTTAGTTTAACAATCTCTTAGTCAATATTTGACTAGTTTTTAAACATTCATCTAGTAGACTTTATTGAGAGCTATGATAATGAGCACATATCCCTAACAACAGGAACTGTTGGGAAATTGGAAACTTAGAGACAGCGGCTGTGGAAACTCAGCAAGAAAGCAGATTTAAAATGTCTCCACAGAAGTTTTGTTCTAGGACCATGGTAGGTTTAAGTCAGCTCTAGATCAGTATCTTACTCTCTGCAGAACACTGTGACTCTAGGAGCTTATGGATGGGCTTTATCCCACTAATTCCCTGAAGTGGTGTGTAACATTTTGTGTGTATATTCATATTGTGCATTTTCTTGGATTGGGGGAATCAATAGATTTTGTCAAATTTCTCCACCCAAAAGTTAACCATTTCATTGTTAGAGATGTGGGAGCCATAGGCTAGACCTTGAGTGAGGGGCTTTTATCCTTTTCTTCTAGACCATCTTAAAATAGGGAACCAAGCAGCCCGCCTAGCTTATACGGCCAGTTCGTATATGTGTGTGTGTGTGTGCGTGTGTGTGTGTGTTAAGGGTGTGCTTTACTGTCTATTAGATAGATAATGGGTAAAAGAAAAAGAATATTTTAGAAGGCTTGATCCAGAACATCCTGAAAAGTAGAATACTAATTGTTGAGACTGTCAGTTCATTCATATCATATTTTCTGTCAGAGAGAATCAGCTAAGCAAGGTACATTGGCCCAAAAATATCTTGAAGCAGTGGCTGTAATTGAACATATGCAGGAGAAGTTACTGTAAGTATGAGGCAACACAATGGTAAGAGGATGAATATGGGCTTGCCGGGAGATTTGACTGAGAAATTCACACTTTTTGGCTTCCCTTTGGCTCTCCTGCTTTCTTTATCCTCATGAGTGCGATGGGTATCTCCACATGTTCTGCTAGAGGCAGTGAACTACACTGCTCTGGTAGGAACATCCACTCTTATCTGCAGTGGAGAGATAGAGGAAGTCAAAATATTTGTGTGTATTGGAAGGGGGTGTTAGAGTGATCTGATCCATTGTGTTTCTAAGAGATGACTTAGGGAAATAACTGGAACTGGAGAAACTATTGTGCTTGGGAAGGAATGTTATATAACTCAAAGAGTAGAAAGGGCGATACAGTTCAGTTGGCTGGGGATGCCAGGAGAAAAGCGTAGCCATGTAGACATATAACGTGCTGTAGTAACTAAGAAGCACATCTCAAGCTGGTTTCCTTGACTGTAAAAATTTGGTTTTAGAGGTGCTAGAAAAGAAGAGATTCTGTTGAATTTAGCTTGTTGGATCACATCAGTTAAGAGAAGCCAAAAATGAACTCCTGAAAGGAAGTTCCCTGGCTGTTAATGAAGAATTTCAGATACCCCCAAATCGGATTTTACTAAGAAATGATAAATATATTCTTAAATAGCAGCATGATTTCTACTCTGACATTGGCATTCAGAGTTACTCCTGTGCCCCCAGTTCTCAGATAATCATTGATGCTGTTGCTTCCCTTATTTCTACCCTTCAGACACAGTCATCTAATCCCACTGCCTTTTAAGAAAATGAGTTTCTAAATCAAAAATACTTTTTCAACACTTTTTCTTTTGTTGTGTTTCTCTTCCATATCAGGGAGGTTGAAAATAGAGCCATGCAAGCAGAGGAAAAGTTTGAAGATGCATATGAGAAACTTCATCATACACTTATAAAAAATAAAGATCTAGAGGAGTTAGTCATGACATCAAGAAAGGAGTCTAAAGGAGAGAAAGAAAATGAAGGAGAAAGAGAAGTCAAAGAAGAAGAAGACCAAGAACAAGAAGAAGTCAGGTCAGCAGAAAATTCCTCAAAGTCTCCAAAGAAAGGTAAGGACTCCTTCTTATTTTGCTTTATTTAGGTTATATTTATGAAAGAAAATTTGGGCGACAGATATTTTAGAAGAACATTAATATCTTTAGTGCTAATCTACTAGTTTATACTTCTCATAGGAATGTGCATATTTTCGTCACATAACTATCTTATTCAAACAACTCACAAAAAGGAAAACCAAATGGATAACAATTGTGAATGAATAAACTAATTCAGATACTTATTTATAAAACTGGCAAAGGTGTTTTTTTTTTTTTTTTTTTTTTAGATGGAATCTCCCTCTGTTGCTCAGGCTGGAGTACAGTGGTGTGGTGTCAGCTCACAGCAACCTCCACCTCCTGGGTTCAAGTGATTCTCCTGCCTTAGCCTCCCAGGTAGCTGGGATTACAGGTGCCTGCCACCATGCCTGCCTAATTTTTGTATTTTCAGTAGAGATGGAGTTTCACCATGTTGGCCAGGCTGGTGTTGAACTCCTGACCTTGTGATCCACCCACCTTGGCCTCCCAAAGTGCTGGGATTACAGGTGTGAGCCACCCCACCCGGCTGTTTTTTTTTTTTTCTTTAAATAAAAGAAAACACAATGCTTTTTAGAAATGCCAACGTACAATAGTTATACAGATAATACTTGTGAGTAGACAAACACATACAACCATTTTAGTAAATAATTTGATAGTATATATGGATATCCCTTTAAAACATGCATATATTCATAATATATGCATGTTAATATATGAATAATATATGTGTGATATGTATAATATTTACATGATAATATATGCATAATTTCACACTTGAGAATCTTAATAATCCTAAATATACAAAAATTAATACACAAAGATGTTCAGTATATCATTGTGTATAATAGAAAAAATAGAAACAACCTAACTTGTTCAATTGTGAAAGAAAGATTAAATTATGCTATTTCAATATACATAAATATTACACAACCATTAAAATGGTGTTTCAAGGAGTTTTTAGTGACATGGGAAATTTTGATGTTAACTATCACATGCAAGAAACAGGATATGACATTATTTTGATGTTATGTTTATTTTATGTGAAATATCAAACACACGAAATAGGATATGACATCATTTTTAAAAGCCAGGGAAAAGACCAGAAAGAAATATGCCCATATATTGACAGACATTGTGGGTGATACAGGTTTGTAGATAATTTTATCTTTATTTTTTGGTACATGTTTGACTTCATGTGATTTTTAAAGCTATTTTATTCTATAGGGAGAGGAATTTAACTTTTCATTTTCTTATTTCTAATTAGTACTGTAATCTGCCCAGAAGCAGTTCTCAATGTTTCTAATATTAGAGGCTATGTTTTGATTTTTGCTTTCATCTCCAACCTGTGATCTGTTCCAGGACAACTCCTGGTGCAAAGGATAGTACTGGAATACATCTACTCTCTGTTTTTCTCTGTCACTCCTATTTCCACCTACCCCTCAGCAAAACCAGTGAAGTCAGCCAGCCCCTCACAGCTCCTGGGCCTAGGTACAGTGATATTAACACTGTAAGAGTGTGAGTTCATTTTTTCTACTCCTTTCAACTTTGAACTGGTGAAAATGTTATTTATTACAAGCCTGACAATCAATCCTTTAGTTTTAGGTTTGAATATATGCAACAGAGTTTTTGTGAATTTTTAAAATTTCATCTTCTTATATTCTGAATATAGTTTTATCCTGATCATTTGAAAACTAGACCTTTTCTAGATTTAGGAAGATAAATAATCAAAGCGTCCAAAAGGCCTACTTTTAAATTTAAACTAGAGAGGTTACCTCCGTATGGAAGGCAGTACTTTAGTTTTGTCCATTCTCATAGGTCTTGAGGAGTCGGTTAAAGCCAGAACTGAGAAGTTTTAATTATTTAAGGTAGAGGATTACTACAGAAAGTTAGTGTTCAGCCTGCAAACAGTAACCTACACAGATACCCAGTCACCCTTCTCCCTCCTTCCAGAAACCACCAGCAAAGTCATTGCCAGGGGCTGCTGAAGTGGAGGATGAGATGCTTTGCAAAGCTTAGGAGAGCTGCTTCCTACTCACAGCAGTCCCTGTGCCCTGCAAGTGACCTGAACAGAGTCTCCAGAAAATCCATGGGTTAGACACTTCTTCGAGTTAGTAGGTAGCCCTTTGAAAAAAATGCAGATACCTCTGGAGCAATCTGACACTGCTATATTTGCATATGTTAGTGCAATAAAATCACTTTTTTCCTGAGGCTTGTGCAGTGAAGGAAAAGAAAATTATACTGTAGTAAAAGTAGTAACCTGTGAATGCTGAGTAAAGAGAAGACCTGGACAGAGTAGGAGATGTATTTATTTTTGTTTTTATGTTAATATTTTTAATAATTAGCAAATCACTGTGCTCTGAGCTGTGACTGAAAAAAGGAATCAAGAGGGAAGTCTGCAAAGATGAATATGGCTTAGTCCTTGATCTCACTGGGGCCTACAGTTGGGTGTGGGGAAGTTACGCTAACAGTATAATACAACGAGCACATGAAAGCAACCACATGTAGGATGGACATGGCGGCAGCCCATCCGAAGGATTTAAATTGGGAAGCAGAGTGTCATGGGGCTGCTCTTCATGTGCATGTCAGGGAGAGGAGGCTTGATGTCCAGAGGCCTTCTGCACCATCGCAGGGATGGAGCTTGTGGAGGGTCTGTGCATAGGAGTCTGGAGAGAAGGGGTTGGGGAGACCACAGAAGGGTTCAGGAATGGATAAGGAAGGCTTCTGAAGACTGTCTCCATCTGAATTTTTTTTTCACCAAGCTTCTGATGTGTACAAGAGGGAAGGAGGAAATGTCCTTTTTCTTTCTCTTCTTCACTCTTTGGCCACATTTTCTCCTGCGCCAGGACCCAGAACTCAAGCAGTTAGCTGACCACACTTGACCTTGGGAAATGCATTCTGAATACCAGTAACCAACTTAGAGTCAAATTTGTGGCACATGGCTTATTTGTAGCTTGAGGGTTACTCAGGCAGAAAAACTATAAAACTTCTTTGTAAAATTAAAAACCCTCAGTAAATGTAAGATATTATTACTACAATATTCTAATTGTTTTTGTCTTTTTAGAGGTACCACGCAAGGAGGGTGCTCTCAACATTAAATCCAGAATCCGGACTAAATTTGATGACAAAACGAAACCCAAGTAGTGTCCACAGAGCTCTGGGGTTCACAATGGCTCTATCCACTGAACACACCTCAGATACTGCTATGTCATAGAGCTGATGTGGCTCAATTGGAGGGACTACCTTTGTGACAGTCACTAGAAAAGCCACAACATACAACCCAAGAGCATTTTCTCTTTAAAAGTCACAGAGATGGTTGTAGGGAGTCAGTGCATTAGCTCACTTCTCACATTAAAAATAGCTTGTGCAAAAGTTTGCTAGCCTCTTCAATTGATTTCCTAACAGAGGTCTGTGAAATGTCAGTTTCTCTCAAGAACATAATGCTTTTTGAAAACTTTGAACTCTGCAGACAAGACTTGCAAATTTAAAAAACGGATTAGTTTTTCAATTTAAAAGAGAAGATCTTGGCCAGGCATGATGGCTCACTCCTGTAATCCTAGCACTTTGGGAGGCCAAGGTGGGAGGATCACTTGAGGTCAAGAGTTCGAGACCAGCCTGGCCAATGTGGCAAAACCATGTCTCTACTAAGAACACAAAAAGTAGCCAGGTATGGTAGTGTGCACCTGTAATCCCAGCTACTCAGGAGGCTGAGGTACTAGAAATGCTTGAATCCAGGGGGCAGAGGTTGCAGTGAGCCATGTTTGTGCCATTGCACTCCAACCTGGGCAACAGAGCAAGGCTCTATCTCAAAAAAAGAGAGAGTAAATCTTGATGATGCCCTTAGGTTTCTGCAGCATTTTCAGATTTCTTATGGTTTCTGGCATTTTTATGATTTATCTGATCTTTGCAATAACCCCACAAAGTAGGTGGGGGAGATACTGTTATTCCCATTTCCCAGAAGATAAAACTGAGGCCCAGTGATTATAAGACACAGTTGCAGAGCTGACTGGTGTCAGAGCCCCTCGATTACTGTACTCATGTCTAGACTGTTTCACAATAGTGAAGGGCCACCAGGCCATTGCTCAGATGGTTTCCTTCATAGGGGCCTGTGTTGCTGAATCACCCAGAATCTCCGTTTCTTGCTTTTACTGTCTCATTTGTCTGCTCTGTTCATGACCCTGAATCCATCTAGGCAGAAGAGGTGGACTAACCTGCACATGACAACTGGATGTTCTGGGTAGTCACTCAGCGAGGGCTTCCTGCCGCCTCACTGCTCCTGGCTCACTTGCCTTTGTTCTTAATCTCTAAACACCTGTGGCAAGAGTTCTACACCTGTATTGCCTCCACATATTTGGTATATCTTTGGATTTATCTCCTAGAATTTTAGACCTTTACCTGTTCTTCCAGCCTCAGAATACCCTCTGACCCTAGAGTCCCCATCTTTATTTAAGCCAACATTGGCCAGGCCTGCCATTGGCCATCATCAAAGCATGTGAGGGATGGGTTTCAACATTCCTTAGGATGTACCCAAGACTACTAGGTGGAGTCTGGCCGGTTCCACTCTTTACCTCTTGGAAAAGAAAACATGAAATTCTTCAGAAACTCAGCAGTGCTTCTGGCCCAAATGGCAGACAAGCTGAAGCTGTTGGCTCATGCCTGTAGCTGCTGCCTGACGGAGTGGAGCCAGTCCTACCTTGCTCCTTCCCAAAGAAAATCCTCAATAGCTCTAGAAAATTTGGGGACTTTTTGTGGGGTCCCCAAATTTTTATTAATATAATTTTTATTAATTTTCCACTTCGCAGGAATGAGTTGTCATTTCCATACAAATCCATAGCCCCCATCCCTGAACATGAGCCTTGTCCCTTAGAATGTGCCAAATACCATGTCAGCTCCATTGTGTAGAAGGCTTAGTCTCTAAATACCAGCGTTATATCTGCTGCCACCACAATTAGAATGAGGTGATTGGCATTGTGGACCTACATTAGCTGAGGTGGTTTGGTTACAAGCCACCTACTCTTGCAAACCCATTTAAAAGGATACTTTATTGAAAGGATGCTGGGGGTTCAAGGATTTGAAGGGAAGTTTTGAAGAACTAGGCTAGAAACAGGAACCAGCTAGCTTTAGGTCAGACACAGTAATTCCTTCACCATCTTGCTCTAGTGCTACCACCAAATGAACTCCAATCATTTATTTCATCCTTACATTATTCTGCCAAAGTCTCAAGAGAGAGAAAGGCTACCCTGTAGTCACAAACCTCCCCATGGATGAACCAGGGATGGTGAGAAGACCTCAGAAATCTCTCTGGCTTCCTTAAAGCGAAGGAAGGACACTTTGCACTGCTGTTCCTCTAAGATGGGACACAATATGGGGAAAGGAAATCAGGGCGGTGTTAGGAAGGCATAATGAGTATTAGGCGGTTAAAAAAAAAAAGTGTGCCACAGAGAGGGCACCTGCACTGCGGCTGTCTGCAAGTTAGCCCGGACAGTTCCACTCTTCCAAGTAACTGCTCTGTGGGAAGGTTTAGATAGGGCTTGGGACCCTGCCACTCCTTCTCAGCGTGTCCCTGAAGTGGTCTCCCAAGCAGAGTGGAGGGAGGAACTTTCGCTTCTCATCACTGGCACTCAGGCTGCCAGGTGAGGCTGTTGTGCTTGCATATAGGAGACCAGCCATTCTGTGCTCAGATGTCTAGACCGAGCCATGCTGTCCTTGTCTCTAGAAAGCTGCCCTGGCCCTTGAGAGAGGAAACTGGTTAGCCTCCTCCCACTTCTCTGTGTCCCAGCCCCTAGTCTCAGTGGTGACATATTCCATGTCCTGTGGTGCCGAGTGGGTACTGTTTTGGTAGTGCATACCGTAATGTACTTAAGGATCTTAGAAAGTTTAGTGGACAGACCCCTCAACCACCAGGCCTGGCTCTTCATCACGTACCCACACCAACTCAGTGCACGTGGGCTCCATGAGATTCTCCCCTGAGAGATCCGGTTCCACTCACACAGGCGGTCTCATTGACTTGACCGTGGTCAGGTCACTTGTCTGCTATCTTGCAGCACTCAGTGACTGCACTTTCCTCTTGTTCTTGGCCTTTCCTAGCTGGAGATCAATGGCCCAGATACTACCTGGGAAACATACCTTGCATTTCACTTTTAAAGCCTGCTGGAAATTCTGCTTGCAGGCCCCAAAGCTGTCTATTCCTGGAATCAAATAAGTATCCCATCTACCAGCAAGTATTCCCCCACAGGAAACAGAGGAGTTTCTCTAAAGTTAGGAATAAAACTTCTGTAGCCCTGCTGCATAGGCCCTGCATACTTGCAAAACTGCAGTGCTTGCTATCTGAGCCCGAGGCTGAGGCAGTCTGTAGCTATATTGATACGAAGTTGTGTCTAGGGTTCATCAATACTTCCATCACTGCCTCAGAAAAATGGAGAGCTCATTCTAGCCAGGACTGCCACAGCCTCAAGGCAATCTCCCATTCAGGATTGCTAAGAACTCCACTAGTCCCTCTGATCTCAAAGATTAACTCTGCAGAGTGCAGAGTTTTGAGAAGTACAACTTGTCTAAAATGGTGCATCAAAGAACATGACCAGTGTAAGGCAGTCTTCCAGAAGTTCCCTAAGCAGTCCCATTATACAGCAGTGCGCCATTCTGCCTGGACAGTGCTTCTATTCTAGAGTGTCCAATGAAAGGACACTTGCAAGACTGCAGTGGCTTCTGTCTCTTTGGAGGGCATCCTCTTGTATTTGCAAGGTTTGGGTCCCACGAGCACCTGACCTGGCAGAGCCATACTTTAGGCTGCCTCTAGGCCAGCTTGAGAAACACATTTGAACGTCTGAAGATTAAGAGTTTCCATGATCTGTCTTGCTAAGGCAAACTGATTTTTGGAAGGCAAAATGACCCCACCCCTGCCCCCGACCCAGATGTCTGACAGATCCTGGAGTTCACAAGATACTACTAGTAATTCATCTCTCATGTTCCGCTCTGGCCATCCAAACAGTCAAACCCAGGAAAGAAGGAAAGAGAAGAGAAGGAGAAGGAGAAGGAGAAGGAGGAAGAGGGATTGTCCGATTTTTGGCTGTAACTATTGCCCACCAAGAGGAAAAACTCTTCCGTCCCATTTTTGCTCTACTAGTCCAAACTGCAGAGCCCCGGCTGCACCCTAATACTATTGGTGAGCCATGGTGGCCCTTGAAATTCTAAGGAGGGCATCCAAAGCCTCCATGGGGCACATTTCTGATGATTTTGAGCCCAACAATCTGCAGTGTCGCAGCCCTTAAGCTAGCTGCTTGCCATAATAAATTCTGGTCTGAATATACCAATGCCACATCACTATCTACTCCAAATGCACCACTGTCATAGGGTGTGCCATAGACTTATCCCACTCTCAAGGGCATGTCACTTTGGTCATCGTAGACTCCAATGACAAACTGGAACATCTTATCCCCATTTGTCAGCTTATTTCCATTCTCTTAAGACTAAAGTAAATTATCAGGAAAAAAAACTATTCCCGGAACATATCCTGGTTTTAGATTGCACTCGCCAGCTTCTCCTCCAGCCATCATTTCACAATTAGTAACCACTTGCTATGTAGCACCTGGGTCACCTCACCTAGCAAGTTCCTGAAGAATTTTACGTTTGACTATCCACTATACTCTTTCACCCAAACAAAGTTTCATAACAACATATCCCCACTATTTCCTTCCCATCAAGCCCACCAAACAGTGGAAGATACCATAGGCACTCTCCAGATATGTAAACAAAATCTGCCTTTGACAAAAAAAAAAAAAAAAAAAAAAGTGTTGTAAGGAACTATGAAGAGTCATAAAAGCCATTTTTACCTTGGTGTTCACTTCTGATTGTTCTGCTTTTGGCTTCTGTTATGCCTGACCCAGCATGACTCTACCTCCTTCTTCATTACCCATGCCAAAATGTGCTAATCTGAAATCAGGAACCATCCATATTATGGTGTGAAAAGTGACCAGCAAACCTTGGTGCCATCTTAATTCCAATAACCAATACACTGGAATGGGTATGGGCCAACACAGTGGTAACAAGAAACATTTCCCGCTTCAGGAATGCTCTGATTGCCATTGACCCTTTAAATGGGCTAAACCATCTATGACCATGGCCTGGCTGGTCCATGAAAACAAGCTGCACATCCTAATAGATGAGACATTCTAGGAAATCACCTAGGAGTTCCCCAGCCCACGGCCTATTGTTGCTTCATCAGTGTTTGCTTTTTTCTTTCTGACACCATACTCCTGGGCCTGGTAGATTTTGTTAACTGCCTTTGACTTACTTGGATATGACAGCCTTTTGTATTCTACACTTGTATTTTGGCACCCCTTCATAGTTTAGAGCTTTGCCTGTTCCTTTGGC